TTCAAAGCCAGCCTTGCTTACATAGTGAATTCAAGGCAAACCTGAACTGCGTAGGGAGACTTTTTCTCAAACAAAGCAAAACACAAAAGGATGGCTCAATTTTATGTGACAGAGTAAGCAATGTTCCCCAGAAAGGTAACCAGGAAAATAGCCCTGCTTCTTCCCCTTCACCTACTCACTCAGCAACAGGCATGGGTTGAACTTAACTAGATATAGACTCAGCACGAGAAGCGAAGCAGAGGCAAGATTCTGCCCACAGGCACTTGCAGGCCAGGCCAGAAGCAGGCAAGAAGATCCACCAGGCCCTACAGAAATGAGACCTGTTGGGGCCTGCAGGGTGCTCCATACACAGAGGATGTTAAGTCATCCAGATGAGGAGATGCGGCCTTATAGTGAGTGAGACCCACATCATAATGGTCTACCGAGAGGGCAGGACAGGCCTGGACAGGGAAGGAGTCCTGCAGCACTGTACTTTTCACCCAATTTTTCTGTGAATCAAAATTGTTCTTGTACATCAAGAATAGTCATTTTAAAAAATGAAAGTAAAAAGCAGAAATTTCCTGGACAGCTGTCTTGCACTACCAAAAATTGTTAGAAAAGAATCTTGAGGAAAAAAAATAGCTGTTGGAAATGGGCATTTCACAAAACTTAATAAAACATGTATGTTATGTCAAATACAAAACCTACTTTTCTCATTTTTAATTGCTTTATAGGGCTGCTGACTATCCAAGACAAATGCAGTACTGAGTTACTACGGGGCTTATCACGTGTAAAACTTAAATGTAAGAAAACAGCACAAAAGCTGCAAGAGAAAAAAGAAAGCAAACTGTAGTAAAATTCTTAAACTGTACGATGAGCTATACTGAGAGTGGTCTATTTTCATTCAATACATGTTGTGATAAATGAAAGAATTACATTTTAATCCCTAGGAGAAGCAACAAAAAAAATGGTTTTGTTTTTCTTCTGTTACTAGGAATCGAACTCATGGCTGTGCCACTGAGCTACATCCCGGGTCCCCCCCAAAAAATTTAAAGAGGTATAACTAGTAAGCCCATAGTAGAGATAAAATAGAATTATAAAAGAAAAACATTTTTGTAAAAGGCAGGAAAAACACGTACAGCTTAAATAAATAAAAAAACAAATAGCAAGATGGTAAATTTTACATACAAAATCAACAGTATTATCAAATGTAAATCATCTCTTAAGAGGCAGAGATTGTTCAAACTGGATAAAAAAGCAAAACCAACCACATGACTTCTGTAAAAATTCTATAAAAATATTTGAAAGACATAGTTAGGTTAAAAGTAGGCTCAATATACATGGTACATGAATCAAAACAAAGCCAGAGAACTGGGGGTGGGGCTCAGAGGTGGAACACACGTTTAGCATACACAAACCCTGAGTTTAATCTGAATGCCATAAAAGAAAGCTGGAGTTTATATATTAATATCAGACAAAGTAAACTTCAGAAAAAGAAATGCTACTAGTGATAAAGACAGTATTTAATTAATAATTTGACTGAGTTCAAACTGTTTCAAGGCAGAACAATATTAAATGTGTATGAACTCAACATCAGTGTCAAAACACATAAAAATTCAAAAAAAGAAACACAGGTAAATCCACATTTACAGTCGAGGATGCCACCACTTCTCCTTCAGTAATTGACAAGTACATGGAAAATAAGTGACAATATAGAAGACCTGAATAATGTTTTTAACCAATTTAGCCTAAATAATATTTATAAGATACTCTATCCAAAACAGTAGCATGAACATAGTTCATCAAGACAGAATACATATGGGGTCATATAAACAAATCTTAATAAATTTTTAAAAGATTAACAGCAAAGTATCTTCTCTGACACAAAAGAAGTAAAATGGGAATCAGTAACGACAGGTATCTGGAAAAGTCTTGAACTATTTAAAAATTAAGCAGCACACTTCTCAGGGTGCTAAGTGTGGTGGCACCAATCAGTCCCAGGCCCTCAGGACGCTGAAGCAAGAGGACTGTTCAAGTCCACAGGTTTGAGATCAGTATGTGCAATGTAGCAAAACCTCAAAGGAAAAAAGGAAACTAGATAAATAAAATAAAGAAGGAACAAAAACTGTCACCATTCGGGCTGCAGATTAGCTCAGTGCTAAGAGTATTTGTTCAGCATGAGCAAGGCCCTGGGTTCAATCCCCTACAATCCCCAGGCTGACAAAACCTATCATTTTTTGCTAACATCGCTGACGTATGTAGGAAACCTAAAATAATTCACAGGAACTACAATAAAATTAATAAAATGAATTCAGTTTAATCAATAAAACAGACTAAAAATAGTTTTTAAATTTCATTTTCATGTATCACTAACAATTTGAACATTTAAAAATTAATGTTAACTCTTACTAATATAAAATCAAGGGGCTGGTGAGATGGCTCAGTGGTCTAAAGCACCTACTTAGAACAAGCTTAGCAAAGCACAGTGTCCGCGGTTCAATCCCCCAGCACCACATGCCAGCCAGCCCTGCCCCCGGGTGGGCTAAGCTGGCCACACACACACACACACACACACACAAATAAACAAATAAAATTTTAAAAATTTAAAAAAATAAAATCAAATACCTAGAAGTAAATCTAATGATACATATCTCTATAACATAAAACTGTATGACTGCTTCAGTTATTTGTGCATGTGTGTATATGGATGTGTGTATATACACAATTGCAAGCACACATACACAGAGAAAGTGAGACAGTCTGAAGAAATGGGATAGTAAGACTAAATACAGGAAGGATGTCTATTCTCTACAAATGGACTCACAGATGCAATGAAACTCCATGAAAATTCTAGCAGTTTCTTTCTTTTATTCTTTTCCTATAAGGTGAAAACTGGTGCTAATTTGGAAACGCAAGGGGCCAAGCATAGATAAGAACTTAGAAGAACAAAGTGGGAGAATTTTCATGACACAACAACATTCCACAATGAGGAGAGTGCAGTACTGGTGCAATGACAGGCAGGCAGGCCCAAGGAGCCAATGAGAAAGCTAGAGGTGGGCATGTGACTGCAGACAAGGGGGCAGCCTGGAGCACAGGCACTTCCTACAAATGGCTCCAGGTCCCTAGCTGCACAGGGGAGGAAATAAGATCTAATCCCCACCTCACATCATACACAAACAAAAAACTTCAGGGGGCCGGGGAGATGGCTCAGTAGGATAAGTGCTTGACTGGCAAACACAAGGATCTGAGTTCAATCCCCAGTTCCACAAAAAAAAAAAACCTTCAATTCCAGGAGGACTTTAGATCCAACCTCTTTCACACAACATTGAAAGTACTTTCCTCAGAAGAAGAAAGTTGATTAACTATGAACATTTAAATAAAAAATGAGGGCCATTATTTTTCTATCTGTAAAATAGGAAGAATAATTGGAATTTACCCAGTAATATGGTTGTAGCTTTCCATGATTCAATAATATAAGGGATCTAGTCTATGTTTAGCACAGAATATGAATTTGGGGGGTGCTTTTTTTGGTTTGGTTTGGTTTTGGGGTTTTTTTATATATTTTTAGGGAAGGGTGTACTGGGTGCTCAGGGTCTTACTACTAGATCGGACTAGTAGTGATCCACCTTGTTTAGTCTCCCGAAAGCTGGGTTTACAGGCTAGCGACACCACGCCCAGTCTCAATTGCCCTCTCTGTGTGCCCCGGGGGCAGGGCTGGCACGACAGGCCTAGGGATTGAACCCGGGCCCCTGTGCCTGCTTGTAGGCACTTTAATCCGCTGAGCTATTTGGCCGACCCTTTATTTTGTTTTCAGACAGGGTCTCAGTAGTTTACCCTAGCTTTGAACTCACAAAGATCCCCCTGCCTCAGCCTCCTGAGTAGCAGGACCACAAACATGTGCCACCAAACAACAGAATATGAATTTTTAAAACAGAGAGAAGTTACCTTGTTGTCTTTACAGACAGAAACTCTGAGTGTCATCTAGTCTTTAAAGAGGAAGGGTAGAGCCAAGTGTGGTAGTGCACGTTTATAATCCCAGCACTTGGGAGACTAAAACCGGAGGATCGCCAAAAGTTCAAGGCCAGACTAAAGAAGAGAAAGAAGTATATAGATAGGAAGAGTGGAAGACAGTTTCAAATGAGAGATGAGACAGTGTCTGCAAGCAGGGAAAAAAAGGCCAAATGTAGCAGGCAGGCAACACAGAGCTAGAAAGTACTCAAGAGGCATGGCAGCTCATGCCTAGAATCACAGCACCCGGGAAGCTGAGGCAAGAGAATGGCTGAGAGTTCAGCAACGGCCTGCGGTACATAGTGAGTTCAAGGCAGGCCTAAACTAGATAGCCAGACTCAGTCTCAAAAAGTAAAGCAAAAAAAACCTATGCCTGAAAGAAAGGCGCAGGGACAGAGGGCCAGTCAAAGGAGCAGAACAATAGGACGGACATGAAGGAAGAAGACTTTCAGATCAGGAAATTTTGGATGGGCTGTAGATGCAAAGAGATGGCCGTTTCCATTTTCTTCAAAGAGTAGAATCAAGGTCACCTTAAAGCACGGGAAAGAGTCTGAGCTGCAGCCAAATGCACAGCACTGTGAGGACTGACAATGGAGCGCGGCAGAATAAGTTGCTGTCACAGTCCCTGAAGCACCATGCGGCCAAATCCAAAGCGCCCGGGCAACACTTGCAACTGATGCCTCCCCATGTCTCTCCACGCAGCCTTGCATTCAACTTGCACTCTGAGTGTTCATGTGTGCACAAAATCCACTTAGCAGTATTAATCCCCAAACAGCATTAAGGTTCACCACCACTGCCTTCCTGATTACCAGGCAGTCAGTAAACAGTAAGAAAACAATAGAAAAGACTAATAAAATGGAGCCATCCAGACAGAATCCAAGAATACTGCAGACAGCATGTATCCTACCCCACCCATGAGTCTCCTCAAAGCTGTCAGAGAGAAGAGGCCACCAGCATCAGTGCAAAGCAAGTACAGCAGCGGGTGTGGGTGAGCAAAGAACTGCTGTGCTTACCGGTTGAAGACGTTATCGCTGAAAGCGTACTTTTCCAGGCGTGCAAGTGGGGGCAGCTCGTCCTGGCCTGGGATGTCCAAGAAGGCTGTCAGTCTCATGCTGTCACAATCTGGACCATAGTCTTCAAATCCATCTAGAGGGAAGAAAAGAAAAAGGTGGAACTCTCCATGCATAAGTGTGCACTCACTGTGACAAGTCAGCCATGGGCAAAGACGGGCCTACGGGCACAGCCTTCTACTGCCAGTCCTTTCCAGCTGAAGCTCCTGGGGAAGACAACCTTGAGAAGCCATCCAAAACCTCTCACCCTCCGCCCAATGTGGTAAAGACCAGTGTCATCCAGAAAAGCTACATGGTTTCTCTCACTGCCACCTGTCTGGTGCCGGCCTCACCTCCAATCCTAAAATGAACAGGCACCACTCATCTATGGGGAGTTCAGAAGCCAGGGAACAAAGAGGGTCACCCTTCTACAAAGTGGGCACAAAGCTCTACTCAAAAACATTTAAAACAGTTAAAGGAAAAGCAAATAGGTTCTGCTCAAGCACCAAGAACCTGACAGAAAGTTCTCTGTAAACATTCTGCCTCCCCTAATGTACTCACAAGCTTCACACACTTGACATAAATTCCCACTTTCCTGACCCTCTCCACAGATGTCTGAAAGGTGCCCCAGCTAACACTGGTGAGAAACTCACGAGTTCTCATCCTTTCTCTTCTAACCCTGAGGGAGGGCACATCCTTCTCCCCAGGAAGGTGAATGGCTAAGGTCATGGGTTCTAGAGACCAGTGTACTTGGGATGGCAGGAATTCCAGAGGAAGTCACTGACTGAATTTCCTTGCTTTCATCTTGAGAGTAGGGATAAGCCCTACCCTTGCTCTCTGAAGAGGGTGGGACATGTAAGTTCATATGTGTGGATTTGCCCACCTCCACATGACCTGGCCAACTCTCACCACAGATCACCATGCTTTGCTTTGGTATGACAGAATTGTGGGTGACCTTTCTACCCCTAAGGCCTTCTACAAAATTTTTTCCCCAAAGTCTATCTCCTCTGTCCTTTAGGTCTCGGCTAGGTTGCAATCCTTCAGCAAAGACTTCCTGTCCACTGTCCTCTTACCGGGCAGTGCCAACCCAAGCTGATCTCCTGCTGTGTTGTTCACTGCTGGGTACAATCCCTCTGTCAACAGATGCTCTCCCAGGCAGAACTGCAGAAGTTACTGTTGGACTCTCTGAGCCTAGCACGATGCATGGCACAGGGGAGATGCTCGGGAAACATGAATAAATTCACTTTTGAGCCATACATTTCACCAAGCAACCTCTTAACCAATCACTGAATTGACTTAATCTTTCCATCCACTCTATAAAACATAATGATTGATTCCAGGACACAGCTAAGAGACTACTCTCCAAAGATGACACTGATAGGAGTTGTTGGGATAGTCATAAAAATAAAAATAGTAGCTACTTTTCTAGTACTTGTAGTGGTAAGCAGCAGAAAAGTGTTTTATAGGTATGTTTCAGTTCCCACAACTCAACCAAGTAAAGACTACCCTTATCATTATTTTACAGATGAACAAGCCAATTCTGAGCAAGGTTATGTAGCTTTCCTTCCATCATTCATCTAGTGTGTGCTAACCGGAAGTAGGACCCTGCAGTTGTTGGCAAAAGGGTTATCTGCTCGCTAACAGTGAGTTATCTGTGTACCCAACGTTGTTTATGCCAGCTGTTCTTTATCTGGTTAATTATCCCACTGAAATATTATGTAATCAGTGGCATATGACTGTCAAAAGGAAGTTGTATTCCAGATGCAACGAAGATGAATTACTAAAACACAGCTGTAAAATTAGGCATGGGTAAAACAAGTAGGAAATATTACAAATGTGAAGCTGTACATCCACGTTTTTAGTCCAGATCTTTCACTCCATGTAAAGACCTGCAATGCTAATGAGGCCTATGGGTGTGCTATACAGGGAAAAGGAGGGTGCATGTGCCTCATCGAGGCCTTGGCTCAGATCACAACGCAGCATGAGTATGCATTTATGCATATTATAAAATATGGGCATTTTTAAGGAGCCCCTGTCATGATAATCTTTTCGATTAGCAGATATCTCCTCATTCCATTCCAACTGGAGATGAGGGCATCCACTAAAAGGATAAGGCAGGGAAGCAAGTGCCTGAATTTGAAATTCTATTATCAAGAGGATGCTGGCTATTTCAAAGACAGGCTGGCTGGAATTGGTACATAATAAAGATATATATATATATATATATATATATATATCTCACACACACACACACACACACACACACACACACACACACTACTCTCTTCCCCTACTCCCTACAATCAACCTTCCCATATTTTACCTTAAAGAATAAAGATAAAAAAGCAGGCTGCCAAAGACCTCCTGGGGGCTACTTTTGGCAAGAGAACTGTCTCTATAGTTGGGTCCAGGAAGATCAATCGCCACCTGCTATGGAGGTGTAAATGCATCCTACTATTCTTTATGCTGAAAATTAGATAGCTGTGCCAGCAGCGCTACTGGTGTGAAAAAGCAGGAGTCCTACCTGGCAGACAGGATAAAAAAAAAACCAACCCAAAGCCAATTTAGGCAATAATTGATAAGTGTTTAAAACAGAGATGACAAGCGTATGCCTAGGTACTTATTTTCTCTGAAACACTGAAAACATTTTTTATCAACTAATTCTTTTAAGCTAGTAATAAGAGTTTATTAAAAATTTACATTGTATAACAGTTACTCAGAGAATTTTAATAAGGACTTATATATTTGTAGAAAAACATGCACAGTATAATCAAAACACATTTCTCTGCAGGATAACTGCCTCAGATGAAGGGGACTAGATGGGGTCAGAGCCAAGGCCAAGGGTGCCAGTACTGGGTGTAAGAAGTCTCACCATTGTCCCTAGGGGCCAACAGAAACACACCCCGCCCTCCACACATATAGAGAGAGAACCTTCAGAGCTGGCCTGGAGTGGATTCAAAACAGTGACCAGATACAAAGCAGCAGTTCTGGACCCGCTAGGCTCACAGATGGCTCTGGACCCAAAGAGACCTACTGGCAGAAACACTCCAAACTTCCTATACAGAAACAGGGCTTTCAAAGGGTCTGTAGGCCTACCGAGAGTGCTTCATGGATTAAGAACTAACTTGCTATATTAAGATAAAATAAAATATCCAGATCGCCACAAGAAACTGTTTAATCTGAGCACTAAGGCCTTGGCAATTAGTCCCACAAGAGAAGAGCTGCTAATGGAGCATATTAATGATTCTACTATAGTATATATTAAAACAAGAAAATAAAAACTATAAGCCATAAAATATTAGATAGTAATTAACCTTTATTGGTTATGTAGCAGCAGAGAATAGTGAGCACAGATAAGCCCCCACAAAAGAGACCTAGCACAAAAGAACAAGGAAGCTTTTATCATGAGCCAGCCCACAACCGGCATCCTCTCAAGTCTTGGACCCACAAGATGTCTGCACAGGCTGAACCTTGCTTTCAGGTTATATACATTTTAGGTATCCACAACAACCACATTTCTACACTCAAAGGAATGGTGAAGAATTAGCACACAATTGTTACAAGGTTTATGTTCTTACATTCTCCAGGTACTATAGACCACCTGCGGGTCACAGGATGTCCTGGTTTGATGTGTACCCTACTTCCTAACCTGTTCTGTTTGTTCCCCTTTTAATGGCTTTGTTTTCCTCAGTAGGTTTTATGGTTAATTACTCAGGAGGGGGTTGGGAGGGAGTTTATCTACAGTTTAAGTGAAGTTAAGGGATTTGTGCTAAAACAGAGTCACAGAAAGAAAATGGAGTCTCCCTTGCCCTATAAGTTACTTCCTAATCAAGAATTGTGCTAAAAGCCTTCTGCGTAGCAGCAGTTTATTAAATCTTGATAGCAACCATATTATTTCCATGTTTCTATTGAGAAAAGTGAAGCTTGGAAAGGATAAGAAAGTTGTCAAAGGTCACAAAGCCAGAAAGCTGCACAAGGTCTGAACTCAGACTCCAGACATGGCACTGTGCTAGAGTACCAGAAAGAAAACTTGCATATCACTTTTAATTTCTAAAGAAACCCTACACATCTCCTCTCTAAATGCTAACCTGGGTGATTCTGTACCTGCTCTTCCCATAGACGGAGGCACCTTCACTTCTGAAGCCACAACTTGAGTTCAGTATCCCAACGAGACCTCTCCTGTCCCTCAGAGAAGACCAACCCGCTGCCAAACCTCTCAGAGCTGTGGCTCTTCCTTCCCAGCACTGGCCACAGAAGCACTGGCACTGGGTGCCACCCTGACAACATATCTGTTCCAGTGGCCCTGAGAGTCCCATGAAGCTACCAAAGCTCCAGCACCCAGTGCCTGTTATAGCCAGTAGTAGGTATTTCATATAAAGAGGTTAAATGAAGGAACAATACTCCTAATGGAAACATAAATATATGAAAAAGAAATTGAAAAAGTGACTGTTACAGTCTAGAATCACAAAGAAGCAGGAAGCAACCTAAGAATATGTCTTGACAGACAAGGAAATGAATGTGTTCAAGGATTCTGAGAATTTGAAGGGCCTGCAGCCCAGCCCAGTGTTTTTTCATTAGATATACAGAAAAATCTAAGATGAAGACTAAAAGAATAACAAAGCCAAAGGCAAAGATTGTAGATAGGAGGTGAGAAAGACTTATTTCCAAGCAAGATAGCAAAAGTGGGACACTACTAAGCATCACAATTTACAAAACAGAAAACCAAAACCAAATAAGTAAAACAAAACTTTGTAGGTACTAGTCAAGGTGCAGCATACAATATGATTCCTCTAGAGCCAGGGAGATGGCTCAGTGGAATAAGTGCTTCCCTGGCAAGCGCAAGGGCCTGAGTTCAATCCCTGGTTCCACAAAAATAAACAATATGATTCCTCTAAAAAAAGACACAAACAGGGAGAGGCCTACACTATAGGGGCTTAGCACCTAGAGGCAAGAGATTAAAGAGACTAAAAGCGGGGGTGGGAGGGAGCAGGATGGGGGGAGTGGAGGTGGAGAATGTGGAGAGCATAGTGGCCTCCAGGAACTGCGTGTTGATCTGGGTACACCAGGAAGAAAATTTTCTGAACAAGGAGGCAGGAA